AAGTTACGACTGTCCCTCAAATCTTTTTGATCCTAAACTAGAGATGGAAGAGAGGGTGGGCAGGGAAAGGTGGGTGCCTTATTGAAGAATGAGAGAGAACTCGCCCTTCCTTCATATTTTTGTTCTTTTCAGGCCCTCCGTGGACTGGAGGATGTCCGCCCACACTGGTGAGGATGGATTTTCTTTACTCACTCTACTGATTCTAATAAGTTCTCTCAGAAACTCCCTCACAGACACACCCAGAAATCATGTTTTACCAGCTATCTAGGCATCTCTTAACCCAGGCACACTGACACAATTAACCATCACATACATTTTGGAGATTAATCTCTTAGGAGATACATGGTTTGCAAATATTTTCTCCCATTCTGTAGGTTGCCTTTTCACTCTGTTGGTTGTTTCCTTTGCTGTGCAGAAGCTTTTTAGTTTGATGTAGTCCCACTTATTTATTTTTGTTTTTGCTGTGTGTGCTTTTAGTGTCCCAACCATGAAATCACTGTCAAGACCAATGTCATGAAGATTTTCCCCTCTTTTCTTCTAGGTGTTTTACAGTGTGGGGTCTTAGTTTAAGTATTTAATTCATTTTGAGATGATTTTTATGTGTGGTGTAAGAGAAGGGTCCAATTTCATCCTTGTGCATGAGGATATTGAGTTTTCCTAGCACCATTTGTTGTGGAGACTATCCTTTCCTCACTGTATATTCTTGACAAACTTCTCTAAGATCTGTATATGCATAGATTTAATTCTGTGCTGCTGAATTTGGTTTGCTAGTATTTTATTGAGGATTATTGCACCTATTTTTTTTAGGGATATTGGCATTTAGTTTTCTTGTGGTATGTTCATCTGGCTTTGGTATCAGGGTAATTTGGCCTCGTAAAATGAGTTTGAAAGTGTTTCCTAGTCTTCGATTTTCAGAAGAGTTTGAGAAGAACTGGTATTAATTCTTCTCTAAATGTTTGGTAGAATTCACCAATGAAGCCATCTTGTCCTGGGCTTTTCTTTTGGGGGAGGTTTTTGCTACTGATTCAATCTCTATTCCAGCGATAAGTATGTTCAGATTTTCTGTTCCTTTATGATGTAGTCTTGGTATGTTGTATGGTTCCAATAATTTATCCATGTCTTCTAGGTTATCCAGTTTGTTGGTATATAATTGTTCATAGTAGTCTCATACTACTTTCTTTTTTTTTTGTCACATCAGTTATAATGTCCCTTTTTTCATTTCTGGTTTTATCTATTTGAGTCTCCTGTTTCCCCCTTAATCTAAAGATTCATCAATTTTATCTTTTCAAAAAACTAATCCTTAGTTTCATTTATTGCTCTCTCTTTTTTTCCTATGTTCCATTTTGTTTATTTCTACTAAAATCTTATCTCCTTCTCTATGCTAACTTTGGGCTTAGTCAGTTTTTTTTTTCTTCTCCCTAACTCCTTGAAGTGAAAATTAGGTTGTTAGAGATCAGTCTTCTTTTTTAATGTAAGTATTTGTCTCTGTGAATCTCCCTCTTAATACCGCCTTTTCTGCATATCATAAGTTTTGGTACATTATTTTCATTTTTGTTTATCTTGAGGTATTTCTAATTTCCTTTTTGATTTCTTCTTTGGCCAAATTATTGTCCAAGAGTGTGTTGTTTAATTTCCACATACAGAAATCTCTCACTTTTTGAAAGTTTGTTTTACACTACTTTGCTTTTACGAAAGACTTAAATTAGCACTTGTTTTCGCTAACCAAAAGAAATCCACAGGGCGTTTTTGTTTTTACAAAAAAAGGTGACAAGTGAAAATAGCATTCACTGTTTGTTTTGCAGTGAGCCATTAGAGAGGTAGTGTGCACCCTAAACAGTGAATAAGACACCTCCAAGCTCCTTCCCTAGAAACTACACTCAGCATCTCAGTATCAGACCGCCACAGAACTGTGTCTGTGAGCATCTGTGCTTTATCTTGATGTTTTATGTGCATCCTTTAGCAAGATGTGTTCTAAGGTAATTGTGTCTTTGCTTTACACCATTTCAGCTTACGAAAGATTTCGTAGGAACACTATATTTTCAGATAGTGGGGAAAACCTGTATTTGTGAATTTTCTAGTTTTCCTTCCACTACTGATTTTTAGTTTCATTCCATTGTGGCCAGAAAAGATACCTGATATAATTTCAATCTTTTAAAATTGCTAAGACTTGTTCTGTGACCTAACATGTGATTTGTCCTGGAGAAAGATCAGCGTACACCTGAGAAGAGTGTCTATTTTGCTGCTTTGGGTGGAATGTTCTGTATACGTTTATTAGTTTCATTTGTCATAGACTAGAATTAAAAGTGATTTATCCATCATCATTACCATAATACAATATTCTATATTTTTAATGTTTTTCTCTTTACCAAAGTTTCATACTTTCTATTTAGCATCCTTTCATTTCAACTTGAAGAATTTCCTTTAGCATTTCCTGTAAGGTAGGGCTAGAGGTCATGAACTCCCTCAGCTTTTGTTTGGGGAAATCTTTACCTCTCCTTCATTTTTGAAAGACAGTTTTGCTGAGCAGATTATTCTTGGTTGATATTTTTTTCCTTTAGTACTTTGAATATATCATTCTACTCCCTTGCATAAGCTAGGGTGCTGGATAAACAAACCAATGCCTTCCCTTCCCTGGGAGAAGCTGGGAGCCGGGAGTCTCTTCCTGACTGTATGGTACTGTGTTGGGGGCAGGGTCTGTGATGAGAGGGTATCCTGAATTTCCCTGTTGGCTTAGGTTAGTCTGGTTCTGCATTCACCCAGTGTGTAAGAGCCTTTCATTAGTTTCTGGATGTCTCACAAAGTGAATCTTTTCATGAATTGTTGCTGAATTGGTGTGTTTATTGGGAAAGAAGGGTTCAGGGCTTACTACTTCACCATTTTGTTGTTGTCACTCCTGAAAATTGTTAATGTATAGATTTTTCTAAAGTCAAAATAGTTTGCTAAGTTTGGAAAAAAATTTACAAAGAAAAAAGTCTGTGATATTTTCTCACTTATAAAAATTATTTCTAAATTTATGACAGTCATACTTACAGGAATACATGAATTAGTATGTCAGAGACCATTGTTTATAAATCATATCAAGATTAGAAAAACATTTGCCTACTTTTAAAAAGAGTCAAAAATTACCAGTAGCCATGCAAAATAAAAGAACTGGTTAGATATATTTTTACAGCAATGCTAAATGTAGATTTAACTGTGAAGAAATATTATTTCATTGACTCTTCATTTAATATAAAGTAATTTACTTCAGGTCAGAATGAAAATATTATCATGGACTCTAGTGGGAGTCCATGGCATTTTCTAGTTAAGCATTTCTACACTCTACTAAAGACGAAAAAAAAAATGCTAGCATAGTAATAACTGATCTGTAAGTGGCAGGCAGGCAGTTTATTGCTTTGAAATATAATCTTATTAATAAGCTTCCTAGAAGAGAACAGTTAATAATACTATACAAACTGAAGTTTACTTTTAAGGTTTTGAATTTTGGGATTCAGAGATTTAGCTATTTATGTGTAAATAAACATATTCTTCTAAACACAAAAGCGATAATAACACAAAATGTTATCTTTCTAAAGGTTAGTTCAAAACCTATTTTAAAAATATATTTCTTAGGAGGGGGATGGTACAGCTCAGGGGTAGAGCTCATGCTTAGCATGCACAAGGTCCTGTGTTCAATCCCCAGTACCTCCATTAAAAAATAAATAAATAAACCTAATTACCTACCCCCCCCAAAAAAAACCCCAAAAACGGAATTTCTTCCCAAAGTTTAGTCAGTAACTATTGAACTATATGTTAAATAATAGCAAACATACAATGAATTATAGAAATTATACTTGATTTTCCATTAATCAATGGAAAATCTATCAAATAAAATGGGTTGACTTTTTCAAAATTAAGAAACATTCAGGTGGTACAGTAAATTCTCATCAGTGGTTAGGGGATGATAAGTGATAGATAACTGAAAATTCTTAGTCCAAACTTGATAGCTGCTAACTAAATGCGATCTTAATTATGGATATAAACCTGGTTGCAGGAAATAAGTGCCTATGGAAGACTGCTTGAGGGACATGATATCCTGGACATTACCTGTTGCAGAAACACGGCCATCAGAAAGTTTTCTATCTAGATTGTATTCAGAGTTAGATTAATGGGAGGGCCAGAAGGTCTAGTCTAAAAGGTACTAAGACATTATTGGAAATGCAATGCATTAGAGAAAAGTATATTCACCAAAATGTCTCTCAGAAACTAAGATAGGGGAGAGGGTATAGATCAGTGGTAGAGTGCATGCTTATCATACACGAGGTCCTGGATTCAATGCCTTGTACCTCCATTAAAAAATAAATTTAAAAAACCTAATTACCTCCCAATAAAAATTTAAAAGTAAATAAAATAAAAAATAAATAAAAATAAAATTAAAAAAAAAAGAAATTAAGGTAGGAAGGCACACTCTGATGAGCCATTTGGGGTGGGGCATGAGACTACATATGAACATGCTCCAGTAACCAGACCATTGCTAAACTGCCTCCTAAAATGGCCAAATGCAATTATAAGAGCATGTTTTGCTTCGAAGAGGCAGCGTGGGGCAAGACCTAAATTGTTCAGGAAGATAGAGAGACTAACCTGCCAACCTCCTTCTAGCCTCCCAGAATGTTTAACGGGGAACCAATTAATAGTAATCTGTCACATGAAACACAACATTCTATTGCAAGATTAAGAGCAAAGGATCCATTTCATGAGGTCCACAATAAGTCATTTGGGAAACAACTGCTTTGTTTTTATCTTAGGGACGTTGTACAACTTGTAGCTGAGCACATTTTCCCTTTTGCTTTGGATGGTAGGAAACTTAAGGACCAGATTTGCCAGCCCATTCTTGAAACTGTATAGGCTCAGAGTATGTATTCCTCTTTTTCTTATTTCTAGCTTCTATTTTCTTGACTATTTTTTCCTTTCACCTGCACTCCTTCAACTTATTTCAATCTATGAAAAATTTTGAAAATTACCTCTATTCCTTCATAACACCAGTTGGAGTTCCTGGTTCCAGCATCTCACGCCTTCCTCTTGGTTTACTCCCTCATTTTGATAGAGTACCCCTTTCGGTAGCTTCCTGAGACAAAGGAAAATGAGAAGTAATTTTTTTGAGATTGTGATTGTTTGAAATTGTCTTATTCTACCCTCATACTTGATAGTTTGGCTGGGCCCAGAAAATTCTCTTTTCTGTGCTCACTGGGCAAGAAAAAGTGGCATGGTTTTGTTTCTGTTTCATTATGTTCATAATTCGGCTGCTCTAATACTATTGTACTGGTGAAATTATCAGAACAGGGAAATAACTCTGAACCACTGTTTTCTGAATCTTAATCCTATGTCATATATACAAATTAACACTATTTAAAAAGAAACTTTAGAGTTCTGGCTTAATTTTTCCAAAACATTTAGATACCTATTTTTTCTGTGTTATTTCTGTAACTTTCTTACTCTTTCCTCTTTTTTATTATAGATGTCATGACAAGATGGAGTAGATAGGACAATATTACTAACTTTTTTGATATTTTGCTGTTGATCCCTTCATTCATCATGCATTCAATAAACACCTCTCCCTTTCTCAATTTCCCCATTCTTGTTTCCCTTCTCTTCTCCATTGCCACTCTCCTTTCTTTCCTCTCTCTGAGGAAAAAAAAAAAAAAAGAAAAAAGAAAACCTGTAATTAATCGAAAGATAAGTTAGGAGAGCAATTATTCCCTTGAACCCATAGACCAGGTCCAGCCAGCTGCATCTGCATTCTAAAAGACAGTTTTTCTACATGGATAGCTGTAATATCTGATCAAAAGTAACTTCTGAAGATTTCAAGTTTAAAGAATTGGGCTATGAGGAAAACACTGTGACAAGCACCTTAGTCTCAAATTCCTCGTCATAGAGTGGGACATGCATTTTGTTTTGTTTCAATTTTTTACTGTGATTTTTTTTTTATAGAAAGAAAAGTTGATGTTAAGAGAAATAAATTTGCCTGAAGTTTCATAGCTAAATGACAAAGGTAAAGGCAGTATTCAAATTTATACCCAACTCTAAAAGCAAGGTTTTTAACTGAGTTTTATGTTTTAATCTAGTATTACCAATACTCTCAACATTTACTTGAGAAAATCCAAGTCATTCTCAGATCACTCTCGGCTCAACTTGAAACCATTCAAATGAAAAAAAAAATTTCATTTAACAAACACTTAGACTTCTTTGGTATGAAAGAGATGGTGATAATAAATGAAGATGACATGGCCCTTGCTGCTAGTTGCTTATTTCAGGAGGGCAGAAACAATATTCCACTTCTAATATTCACTGAAAAGATGACAAAACAAGCTAGCAAGAGAAAAGGACTTAGGATTTAGGCATATCAAGATATCTGGGGAGATGGATATAGGGTAAAGAGAAGTAAACATGTATCAGGGAGATGGAATAGAACACAGTAAAATCAATCCTTTGCTCTGTTTTGTTTGTAACACTTCTACTCAATCATCTTAGAGCAATATATTCAAAATCTTAGGTTTCAATTACATTTTCCTTCTCACTAAAGTTATCATCCAGCTTACAACAACGACCCAAAAACCAGTGTACCACTCAGGTTTTAAATGTCTTATTTCATTAACGTAATTTAAAATTTTATTTTCAGGAAAGAGATTGACTATAAAGAGGTACAAGTTTGCTTTCTTGGTTGGTGGAAATGTTCTGTCTTTATTATGGTAATGATTATATAACTGAGTTTGTCAAAATTCATAGAATTTTGTACCTAAAAGGATGAATTTACTGCACATAAATTACCTCAATACACCTGACTTAAAAAAAGAAAAAGCCTGAACTCTTAACTACCTGGCTAAAAAAAAATAAAATTTACAATTTAGGTGCAAAACAAATTTTATTTTCGTAAGTGAAGCAGTCTAGTAATTTTTTGTACTTATTTATAATGCTAATAATCCAATTTAGACTAATATAATTCAATAAATACATCAATTTTAAAATAGAATATAAAAATGTAGTTTTTAAAAATATAGATTTGGATTACAAAACCTTTATTATAACCATTGTGTTGTAAAGGCAATGCTATGTATTTTTTAATATCTCAGAAAATAACAATCTGAGGTTTTTCAAAAATGTCAATGAATTTAAACTTCCAGAATATTACCATAAATCCTGTTTATATGCCAAAAACTGTACATTTAATAGTTCAGGACAAAGAATTACCAGCTAGCTTCATTAATTGATAGATTCAGCTGTGTTCTAAAACACAATTGCAGCTCAGCTTCTAAAAAAGGCAAAGAAAAAGAAAATTGTTTTCAACAGAACTGTGTTAAAAAAGAAACAGCACCATTAAGGACATAGAAAAGGGTAATTAAGTGATGTCTCCTCTTTATTAAGGTATCAATAGAAGCAAATATACCCAAGAAAGTATTCACAAAGGACCCAGCCTCATAACTGTTTCAGAAAACAAAGTCACTTCCCTGCCACTGGAATTTGGCTTGTAAAAATAATACCAAATTATACATCAAACTTCTCAGATTTTTATGATTTCTACTTTAATACCCTCTGTTTTTATTTTCCCAGACATATCAAGGCCACCAAGTCAATGTAAAGTTGTTGTTGATAATTATTTCTATTATTATTATAGAAGGCTTTCTTTCGAGAAAAAAAAAAAATCCAGGTAAAACAGGGCCTAAAGATGTATTCTTGGTCCGGAGGGCGGTAGGAAAGTGAGTAGGAATTGTCAAAGCTTCACCTAGCCAACAGCAGTCCCTTGTTCTTTCCTTCTAGTCTTCTCTCCCATTTTCATGAAAGCTAGTTTCTCTGTTTCATCACAGTCATGTAATTCTTTGCATGGGAAAATTCAGGTGAACCACTTTCTAAAACCCTAATTTAAATCTTGTTAAAAATCTTCCAAATATACATCACTCTTAATTAAACCTGATTTAGGATGCTGCAGTGGTCCTGAGTTATTACAGAAAATATTACTAATCAGTGTAATATACTATGTATGTATTTTCAAAACTAAATCTCTGATAGCAACTTATTTTTGCTGTCAGTCTTTCATAAAATTGAGTGTGGCATCAATCCCAGTTTGCTAAGAGTTTTGGCTGGTAAAGCTTTATTGTAAAAATCCTCCTCTCTTTGACAATTCTAAGGAAGAGAATAAGTACAAAATCTTCATTTTATATCCGTCAGTCTTGTCTCAGGGCAACCATGAAATATCATTGTGCAGAAATCAATTCTATTTCTGATATGAACATTCCATTTAGTAACCAGTCTTAACCATCCACAGAAGCATTGGAGGTTCTAAAATTCCTTTTTTTTTTTTTTTAAAGTAAAGACTAGCTAAGTCCTCTGTGTAAAGAACCTAATGCCAGTGTGTGGATTAGTTCTGGCCTGGAGAGACACACAGAGCTCTACCATCTTGTGTTTAAAAGGACAGCCCACTACTTCAATCTCAAAATAATTTATTTAGAGTTTGGTTACTGGTTTTTTTTTCCTTGGCTCCTTCTTCATGGTGGTGGTGGGAGTGAGGGAGAAGTTACGGTGGGTCTGGAAAAGTGAACTGTGTTCCCTATAAAAACAATATAGGTCCCAGCCCAATCCTCTCAACTATTTAAAAAAAAAAAAACTCTCCTTTCCCCAAATGTGCAATCTGGAAAACCCACATTTATTCAATGAAACAAAACACTCCAAAAAATGTAGATCTTACTGCATGCTAGCACTACTCTAGATGCCAGAGATACAAAGACAGACACTCATCCACATCCCAAGAGGTTAGTCTAGTGGGAGACACAGACACCTAAACGATCACAACACAGTGAACAATAACTGAGTAACAGATGTGACTCAAAGAGAGCAGGTCCAACTTGGGGGCAGGGAAGACTTCATAGAAACACTAACAGGCTGTCTTCAGGATGCAGGCGGCCCATTCCAAGGTTAAGTATTATTAAAGCAAAAACTCACTTTCCGGACTAAAAACCTTAATTTCTGAACCTGAGGACTTTATGTTCAAGATCTTATACATTATATACACACACAATGATATCCCATACAAAGGGAAATTAGCTCAGTTTGCGAACATGATTCATCATTGTTCACACCTGCTCAATTTAAGTCTCTCCCAAAATAGGCATTACATTGAGGAATATGCCCTAGCAACTGTCCAAAATTAGGACAAAGAGACTTCTGTTGCTACATGAACACTGTAAAACAGTACTCAAACCTCTGGATGTATTCAATTGTTAGACTGTAAACTGTCAGTCCTTTTTAACTGTGTTAAAATGGGTACTGAATGGGGAATAGAGCCCTAAACACTTGCAGTTTCCATATTTATATTTGAAAAAATTTCCAATTTACCAAGGCCAATGTGGTATTTTTGGAAAACAAATGAAAATTACACATTTGGATTTAGATTTCTGTCATTCATTCATTCATGTTATAATCCCCAAAGCTACCTTTACTCCACACCTAACTTTCCATCATTTCTTTCTAAGAAAAGGGCATATGAAAAGTTTTTTTAAGGTTATAGCTTTCAAACATTTGTAATACAAATTATGAATAATCCAACAATTAGCAAACGTTCCCATACTACCATTTGACATCCCCAGTTTTTCACTATATTTAATACTCTTTAGTAACGTCTAACACCCTTCACCTAACAAGGTCAAAGTTTCCCTGAACATTTTTTTTTATAGGCTGCCTAGGGAGACAAACCCAGAGAATCCTGAGGATGTCACACCAAGAACAAAATGCAGGTCACTGTGACACGGCAGACCAGTCTGCAAAGTCAAAACTGCAGTTCACTTTACGCTGACAGTGCTTCTTTCCAGAACTTTTCCCCTCCAAAGAACGGGAGAGTGTCGATTTCACAAGGTGTCTGGCACTGCTTTCTTTAATACGAAGCTTTTATCTCATTTCTGGAAGGTCCCCTTCATTCTCCCGGGACTCGGGATGGAGCGCCTGGAGTTTGGGGCATCAGCGTTAGCTCAACCGGTGACCTTCAAACCTCTGTGCTTAGCCTGATCCCAGGACGGCCACCTCCCTTCACACCACCGAGGGCACTGCCCCTCCCCCTACTGATTCAGATGCGGCACATCAGTAGGGGTCCCAGGAGCCTCCCACCCCGCTGTTGGTGACGCCGGCCAAGCCCTGGATCACACCCAGAGATGCTGAATGACTGCCCCCCGAAGGTCACCGATGGCTGACGTCCCAATGGGCTCGGGCCACGCCGCCCCGCAGGAGCCCTCGCCGAGCCCCGCTCCAGTTCTGACTTCAGCCTACACCGCACCTCGTCCACCAGGGAACTTTCCAGAACCCTGGCCCTCTCTGGGAAGTCCCCAGTCGCCATCCAGCAAGGAACCTCGATTCGTTTATTGAGCGCCCACGCTGAGGCAGGACCAGCGCGGGGATGGGCTGGCACGCGGAGTCCCTGGCCTGGGGAAGCGCTTGCGCCCCAGCACCTCAGGCCGGGACCCAGTCCTCCAGGAGGACCGACGACTGGGCAGCAAGGGACCGGAAGAACCTCGCCCGCAGCCCCCTTGTCCCCTCTGTGGGACTTTACCTCGCCGGACCCCACCCGGGCCGCCGGAGCTAAAATTAGCAACGAGCGCGGACGCGCTCACGTGCACTCGGTGGAGCCGGGCCAGTGGCACGGCGCGGGTGAGTCACGGCCCGGCCCCCACCCTGCGAGGACGCGCTGACGTCAGCCGCTTCCCCGAAAGGTGACGTCAGCGCGCCTCGGGAAGGCCGCGAGGCCAGCGGTAGAACGTTCACTGAGTTTCGATGCCTTAAAGGGACCATGCTTCGGATCGTGAACGATCTCGGGAGCTGACACGATACACTCTCCCACAGAGTCCGACCCCATCTTGTATCCCTTAGTCTGAGAAGAGTTGATTGTTGAGAAAGGGATGAAAAAAGGAGAGCAACTTAGCCTCATTGGAGACTCCCGGAAGCCCCAGAACCTCCTCCTGGAAGCCCTCCTTGATTAACCAGTATCTGATCCTGACCCAAAAGTCAGGAAGTTTTCCATGGCCCTTGACTTCCTACCGCTTTGCTTACAGCCTCTCCCTATATGCTTACTTAACACGTCTCCTGGTAGAGAAAGGCTGTAGTTTGAATATTTATTTATGTAATCCATCAACTTGCACCAGCTTGGCCCTTTTATCACTTTTTTGCTGTATCCCAATTCTGTCAGTAGTTGTGTGACCTGAAACAAGTTACTTAACTCTCTGGGGGTGAAATTTGTGAACTGGTCTCCAAACTCTCCTTTTATGCTAATCTTGCCAGTGGAAGCTTCTAGGGGCAGGAACCCTGTTCAAGGCTTGACCATTCAGCACAGTCACAGCCTCACAGGGAGCTAACAGTTTACTGAGGTTTGTTATGTAGCAGGTACATTCATTATCCTCTCTCCCCTCTCTTGAATCCTATCTCTTTTTTGTGGTAGGAGTTACTGTCCTCATTTTACTGATGAGGAAGGAAACTGAGGCACAGCCAGATTAAGTATGTTTCCCTAGGTTACACAGCTACAGAATGGCAAACTAGAAGTCCCTCCTAGGTCACTTGGACTCCAAGTCAGCGTTTTTGGTGATAAAGGCAGACTGTGAAATGTATGTCTTGTTCTGGATATATTGAGGCTCCTAGAACAGTTTTTCCCCTTTAATGCAATTCCAGTGCTTCTGAACAAGTAACCCATAAGTAACCCCATGCCCAGAGCAGGAGGGCCAGGCCTCAGGACCCGGAGGAGGGTAAGGCGAGTGAGGAGGTGAGCATCCTTTGGTGCCCATCCTCTCCCTGCAGGACCCTAAGAATAAACGCCTGCTTGAGGTTTGCACCCCAGGCACCTCACTCACTGCACTAGCCTTGACTGTTTTCTCTCTGGAAACTAGAGAGGGCATCCTTCTTAATGCATCTTCACCTGACAACCAGCGGCCAGTTCTACCCAAGTGTAGAAGAAATACCTTGTTTCTCCTCCATCGTAATCCCCTCTATAAAGCAGCAGAAAATCTCCTTGGAACAGCAACAGTCATGCTAAAAACAAATGAGACAACAGCTTCTTAAAGTTTGGGGAAAATGATGGTGCCTGAGTACTGGAAGTGGATGAGCTGCTGACCTGTTGTCTTTTGACAATCATTATTGTTCCTTGGTTGAGTGTCTCAACATCATCCTCAGGCTACACATGCCAGATCTACCAGGAGTACCTTCCTCCCTCAGCTCACCACTCAGAGACATTTAGAACTGACCCCTCTCCCCTCATACCCAATCTCCAGCTACCACCAAGCTCTCTTCTTTGTGTCCCCTGCTCCTGTCCCCTCGATCATACTGATGGAGTCACTGCCCATTCCTCTTCCTGTTCTCCAGGTTTTTTGGAGCCTGTGATTTAATACTTTGTGTGTGCTCCATCACAGCCTTGGGAGGAGATGGAGAAAACCACAGTCAGCCCCAGCTGTGGGCAGTGGCTTCTCTGTACTGGGACTGGACATACAGACATGGAAGCTTAAAACAATATGGGACCTTCAGGCAAACAAGGCCAGCCCCTGTTTTACAACGAAAGGTCTCAGGGTCCAGGAGAGGTGACCTGCCTGGGGTCACATGGCCTGTTAGGTAGACAGTCCTAGTCACTTGCCCCCCAGCTTACTGCTCTTTTGATGGATCACACCTCTGTTATGGGGCTTTGGTGGAACAGTGAGCATGGCAGATGTGCATGGTAAACTGTAATGTGTCATATGTACAATGGAAGGGAAGACAAATGGTAACTTGAAATAAATGTAGAGATAAAATCATAGGGCAGAATAGGAGAACACAATTTCTGAGGACCCCTGGCTATTCCCTCTTTCCCTTTTCCCTCTCTCCCAACCATCCTCAAGATAGGTAAGATAGGTTCCTCCTCCGAACCAAGAACCATTTCCCAATGAAATGGCATGATGAGTTAGATTGCCATTTTTAAACCATCAATAATCAAGATCTTGTATGTCATTTCAGGTTTTGATTTTTCATCTCCTAGCCTTTGCTTCCCATCATTTTCCTATCCTAAAAGCCCCATTAAGTGTTGTTAAGAGCCATAAATGTAACTGGCCACTAATGTAGAAGGATTGTGATCTCCAGCAAATAGCCCCAGCAAAGAAAGGAGCAAGAATCCTAGGTCTGTTCCCAACCGAGGTAGTGACTCACTGGATGACACAAAGCAAAGTGCTTCTTCTGTTGGCGGAGACATGAGACAACACACAGCTGCTCACCTGACAGAGGTGGAGGGTCAGGGGAAGCCATCGGGCAAGCTCCCAGTGCAGTGGAAGCTCAGGGGGCCCTGGACGACCCCTAGTCAATAGTGACTGCTTAGCAATGGCTGTGGGGTCAGCCCTGAGCTCTGTCCTGCTTGCGCACCAGCCTCCAGTGGAGCCGCTAAGATGGTTGGGCTGGATTATGCACTTATCCTTCGTGACATAATTCTCATTGGTTAGGAATGCACCCTAGTTATTCCTAACTCCACTTTAATAACTTGTTATAGATCTGCCCTCCAGGAATTTATTTGAAACTTTCTTTAATCTATTTTTATTTCAGCCTGTAAAGCCTTTTCAGGCAACAAGTAGGTTTACCATTCATGTAAAAGCACTAAAACACAGAAAGTCCTATTTAAGGCTTTTTATAATAATAATCTTATAATTATAATTATATATATAATAAATGAATATAACTATATTATAATTTGATGATAATCATTAATTCAAATAGTCTCACAGGCTTATTTTTAGTCACTATGTTTGTTTTTATCGCCTCACTCACATGCAAACACACACATCCCATCAAAAAGTATTTATTAATGGAGTGGAGTGTTGTGATGGGTGTAAAACTCCATGCAAACTTACATTAGTGTCCTTACAGAGGACATATTTAATGTCCTCTAAAGACTTACCATCTAGGACCAAAATATTGTAGATAGGTGCTCGATAAATACTTTTGGGTGGCTGGATGGTTGGATGGACAGATGGAATAAAAATAAAGAACACCTGTGTGGTAACTGGTGACACATATTAGAAATGACTGTATTGGGGGCTGGAGGGCAAATTTGAGAGCACAATTGGCATGGAGGGAAAATGAAATGTGCTGATTTTATGGCAGATGTGCTTGTGTGAGCTCTCCTCAGACCACCCTAGAGGGCATCCTGGAGGAACAGCTGGTTCCCAGGCTGCTGAAAAGATGCATAGACAAGGGATGCCACAGGGGTGCCCGCTGACAGGTGCTGAGTGGGTAGCAGGGGTCAGGAGGCAGGTATGAGGTCCAGAAGAGGACCAGGCTGTCTCTGTTTTTAATATGAACCACAATAGATGAGGTTTTAAAAGCCAGGTGATTCAGTAAATGAATGGACAAATAAACTATGGTACATCCAGACAATGGAATATTATTCAGTACTAAGAATAAATCAATAGAGCCGTGAAAAGACATGGAGGGACATTAAATGCATATCAGTAAGTCAAAGAAGCCAACTTGAAAAGGCTACATACTGTATGATTCCAACTATGTGACATTCTGGAAAAGGCAAAGCTATGAAAACAGTAAAAAATGTCAGTGCTTGCCAAGAGTTGGAGGGGAGGGATGGATGAATAGGCACAGCACAGAGGATTTTTAGGGCAGTGAACCTACTCTGTATGACACACAATAGTGGATACATATCTTTATGCATTTTCACAAACCTACAGGATGTACAGCACCAAGAGAGAACGATAATATATACTCTGGACTTTGGAGATTATGATATGTCAGTGTAGGTTCATCAATTGTAACAAATGTACCACTCTGGCACATCTACTCGGGGACAGTGCTGGTGAGGGCAGATAAGGAGCACATGGGGACTCTGCACCTGCTGCTCAGTTTTGCTATAAATCTGCAACTGCTCTACAAAATAAAGCCTATTTTTAAAAAATCCAGGTGAGGTGATAAAACCCTCTATACGTAGGTTTCACTCCACCTTGGAGTCACAGAGGCTTGGGCCAGAATCTGAGCCCCACCACGACCAGCTCTGTAACTTTGGGAAAGTTACTTAACCCCTCTGATCTCAGTTTCTCTAACTCCACAGGATTGTAATATCTTCCTCAGAGAAAAGTAAATGAAAAACTATACATGAAGTATCTAACCCAGTACCTGGAATATACAAGTAAGTATATACAACTCCCCTCCCCAAATCCTCCCTAATGACTGTAATTATTAAACATTCTAATGGCTAACTAATTTCAAAGTCATGCCAGTGGAGGAAAGCTGTCTGGAGTGAAAGTGACCTTCTACTAGGGAGGGGATCTGTGCGGGAGTGGGCATGTGTGCCTCACATGCTCGGTCACAGATGCTGACCACAGAATACCAGATGGGGACTTGAGCCCAAGCCCCTCACTCAGCTTTCTCCTGTGAAAAGGTCAGGATGATGGAAGGCTGTCATATTTAGATGATGGCTCGCAGGGAAGCCTCGTTGGGTTAGTCACCTATGATATGAAATCATATTGCCACTCAATATAGTAACAGCTGTTGGTTGCTTTGGGGGGCAGGGGGCGGGGTCAGTTTTTGTTGGCCAACCATGCTTCAAGGATAAATTGGATGGGACCAGACAGGGAGACATGACAAGAGGAGAAATCCTCTTCTAAATAGAGTGTTCCACAGCTTCCTAAGGATTTTCAGCACTTCACCCAAAAATGTGAGTCTTGATTTTTCTTTGTCTTTGGGGCCAAGCAGGGGAAATGCCATGGGAGAAAGGTGTTTGGTCAGGAAGGCTCTAGCTAGAGGGATACCCACCAGAACCAGATTAACCATGGCGAGGGTCAGTGCCACCCTGTAGAGCGGTGGGAATGTGAGTTCTGTGCACCAGCTGCATGATGTCTATATGGCACCCAAAGAAGCAGTCTGAGGGAAGGGGATTGAAAAGGCCTGGAGTTAGGGTGCTGCAGAATCTCTAGGTTGGATTAGGTATTTTGCCCCTCACAGACTGCATAACAACAGTGGGGCCAAATCAGTACCCCATAAGGCAATGATGTTGTCTCAACCTTTAAAACAAACATAGTTGTAGCCATGGTTTGAGGGTATCCTGCTGTAGTTAATCTGGGGTATTGATCAGTTGTATCATAATAGAAAGCCACTGGATGTGGTTAACCCCTTCCTTCCAGTGAATTCTCCTCCATGACATCTCTGCCTCTTGCAGGAA